AAAAAAAACCCCAAACTGTGAAGGTCACTGAGGGTACTTGTTCGACTCTGCCTCTTTTGTGTGTCTTCTATAATTTCTCTCTGTTTAATTGAAAGGTCTATCTTTATTATTGTTTTCCTGTGCTCTAAAAACCTTAAGGTGCAACATAAGGCTGAAGCCATTTGTCAGTAATAGGCTCACAGTAGGTGCTCTAATTCGCTTGATTATTTCTTTCTTTTTCTCCCCACTGCAGTGCTCTCCCAGCTCTTCTGGATTCAGATGAGGTCAGTAAACAAATCTTCAGTTCAAATTAGTCTTCTGACATGCCAAAGGAGTCATGAGTCAGCTATTAAGGACTTGGCTTATTAGAACTGGACTCTGATCTTGCCAGTGCAGCAGTAAAATACTGCAAGGGGGGGAGAAGGATAATGGGAACAACAAGGATACCACTTCTTATAATGCATTCTGAAGGAAGTGATTCATCTGCTGTATAAGTTGAACTCCTGATTTAAAACTCATACGAGTGTGCATTTTTTGTGAATGTAAAGCATTCCATCTTATTTCTGAATAATGTAAACCTATTGGGATAAATAACAACATTGTGTATTTTCTTTTTCAGGAAAGAATGATTACACACTTTGAAAGGTCCAAGATGGAATGAAGGAGTAGCTTATTGCTACTGGAAGTGGAGATGCCTCTTTTAAAGATGCTTGGTGGAGCAAGTGCATCCTGCTGATTTTGTTTCTTGATCTCAGCCTTGGAAGTTTGATGCTTTATTGTCATGAGGGCATCTTGCTGTGGAAGAAGTTCACAAGGACATTATAAACCTTTTGGAAATTTGAATTTACAAAGTTGCTGCAAGTTTGGATTTTTAAGCAATTTAAATGTGTACTATTCCAGCACCTTCTGTAACTTTTTTCAAATATTTAATCTGTGAACTAAAATTCCTAATGTCTGCTTGAGGAGTTTATATTTCAGTGTTACTGTTGACACTTAGAGATGAACTGCCTGTACCTTTTCGGGGGGAGGGTGGGGACAGATAGAAATAAGCACTGAAGAAACAACAGACCCATTTTCTGATAGATAATGGCTTCCTGCTGTTGTATGTCATGTGTCCAACACGAATAAGAGGTTTTAGAAAAAAAGCTCCTGATAATGAAGAAAATTAAGATGCCAGAAAGGAAATATTTGGAAAAGTTACAGTGATACGTGTTTTTAACAAAAGCAAGTGCAATTTTATTCATAACACTGTGTAAGAAGATTTTTCTATTTTAAATGCCATTGACCTATAGGTAAGAGCTGCATAAAGCTAACACTTGCTGTTGTGGCACATCTCATTGCCGGCAATGTGGTGAATGCCTGGAAAAATGATTTGCCCCTACATTCTGTGTGTTGCATGGTTTAAAAAGAAAAAAAGCAACAACCAACAAAACCATCACCAAACCCACTCCTGCAGTGCTTAACAACTGCTTGACTACTCATGTTAAGCAGGTACCAACTAGGCGTTGTAAGCAGAACTCTTCTGTCTGTGCATGGAACATCTCCCACCAAGTCAGCACTCTTCTATGAGAAGATGGTGTTGCTTTCTAGAGGGTGTAAGCAGTGCTCACCTTACTTGAAAGAGGCTTTAATGGGAGTCCACAGTGCTGGGATAGTTCTGTTCCCAGTGTCTGTTTAGAACTGCCTCCCATGTAAGTGATTTAATGATGGGGTTTCCCATCCCAGTTGGTCCCTGTGGCCAAGAGGTACTCTGAGATCACTGTGTTTCAAAGTTGCAGATTTCTATTCTATGTAAGTGCTTTTTTGTTTTTCCTTTTCAAATGAAAAAGAGCTTTTGGACAATGTTCTGTTTTTATTCTATGCTTGGCTGTAGAGGCTTTACTTGCAATGACTTACTCATGGAAACCCATTGTGGACTGTATGACAAAAGCTCTAGTTTGGGTTCATAACCTTTACCACTGATAATTACCAGGGAAGCAGCAGCACAGCTGGGCTTGAGGGGAGCTGATGAGGCTGCTGCTGGAACCGCACAGGGACTCAGTTTTTCTGGTTCTTCACTCATAGCGGTGTCAGCAGAAGTGAACACATGCCTGTACTTCATTCATTCCACTGTAAGGTCTGGTAGCTTAGTTCTAGTTCCATCTTTATCAGCAATTTATGCTGAAACACTACACTTTACAGTAGAGTAGCTGAGGCACAAGTGTATAGTCTCTTCTGCTAGCTGTGCTGTGAGGCAGTAACCCCTCAGCAGATGGGCAGAGAAATAAAGCTGAGCTATAACACCTCAGTCTTGACAGTTGCTGGAGCTCTTCTGCCATCCCCATTAGGCCACGGGTAGAATCTTGAATTAGAAAACACTTATAATTTGCTATGCTTAATTGATACAGATTAAAAAAAGTTACCTCCATGTCCTTCTGGGGAGAGGAAATTTTGTGAAATAAAGCTACATGAAACTCACTATTTAATGTTTTTTCTTTTTTTATTCAGGTCTTACTGTTTTGGGTTGTTTGGGTTTCTCTGAGACAAATAGGGAAAAATGTTCCCTACTGGAAGCACAAAAGAAGTTTGTATGTACTATTTAATAAAAGCTAGGCAAAGAGTAGAAAGGCTTAGATTGTGTCCTTCCACATTCTTACTACGTGTTGTCTCACATGAGAAAGCGTTAACGCCTTCACAAAGCTCCCTGACTTTACCTCTTTACTGCATCATATTTATAATGCAGTTATTCCCAGTAGCTCTCCTTTTTTCTTGTTAAGCTTGACAATTGAGTGGAAGTCTGTCACTTGAAAAGCCAATATAGATGGGGCAAATGATACATTTGTGAACAAAAGTGAAAGATCTAAACAAAGTTCCTAATTGCATTTAAATAGTAGCAGTGTGGTGCTTTAAGCCTACAATGACAGTGGTCTTGAGCAGTTCTGTTTGCCTTCTACCCTTCCATTCCTATAGTAACTTTATCAGTGTTTGAAGTTGTCCTGAACTCCCCAGGGAGCTTGTTGCTCCCTTAGTTAGCTATTCTTGTTCTGCTCATTTGGCAAAGTTTCTGTATCCTTGGATGATGCATTTGCTCTTTAGCACGCAGCAGGCGTGTGCTGTGACTTTTGTCTCTGCAGTCTTACAGAGAGCTTGCATCAGAGCCCAGCTGCCACAGCATCATGCAGGCTATAGCACAACTACCACCGCGGAAGAGGGGCTAAAAGCAGTGGGTGATGAGTGAAGTGTATCTGTGCAAAGGAGTTGCAGCAATGTGGTCTCTCCCCCGACGGCAGCATGGTCAGTCAGATGTGTTTGTTCTGCTAATGAGATCTTTGCCTGTCCTCATGCCTGGTTTTGCTCCTGAAGATGTGTGAGCTCCATGACTTGTCAGGAAAGCATCAGCAAGCTGTCCTGCTAGATGTGTGAAACCATGAATCCTGGAGAGTTGTTACCTTTAATTATGTGGATAGATTAATTTAGATTTATACTCATTCTTTCAAAATAGGTATTGTAATTTTAAAACAAATCATACCAACTACTCTGAAGAGTTGGTGAGCAGGAGGGAGAGCACAGCCACATTTAAGTCTGAGATCTGCGGTTTTCGGTGACTAGAATGGTGTGTAGAAGCTGAATTTTCTACAAGAAATTTGGCTGCTGACTTCAGATATTTTCAACAACCTGTTTCTAACAGAGAAAATGCTCTACGTGCAGGGAGAAAAATGCCAGAAATTCAAATACAGAGGGAACATTGTAGAGTTCCTGTGCCTGATCAGTTCTGTGGATTTGTTAGTTTGCAAGAAGTAGCTGTGATTTTACTCATGCAATGGTGTGTGCCACGCAGAAACTCAAAACAAATTGTGAAGAAGCTGGTGGTGTTGACGGGCTTTTCATTAGGGTGACAAGATGTTCCTGCTGGGAGCTCGGGAGGAGTGACTGAGTAGTAAGAGATCACACGGCATAGTAAAGAAATGCAACAGGCCTGACAGGCACAGTGTGAGTCAGGATCACAAGACCTGGGGTAGAGAAGGGTGTTTGTTTCACTCCACAGATGTAGGAGTCTATGAGTTTGTGGGCTTTTTTTTTAACCTCCTGTTCACTTTACATGGCATTTTATGTTGTATGCTAAAGTATGCTACCTTTTAAAACCTAAAGAGGCTTCATTAGTACCTGGTGATACTGAAACTTGCATTTCCTTTCGATAAATTGGTGCTATGTCCCTCCTCCTTCCATAGGAGTCCTGTGTCAAGGAGACCAGATACAGGCCGTAACTCCTTTGGCAATTTGCAGCTCCGGTTCTGTGAAGGGGATGTGACTTCGCATGGTTTTGTGCTTTGGGAAGGTTTCATTCCTGAGCAGGAAAGAAGCTGGATGGAAGAGTACTGTGCTTGTTCTGCCAGTCTTGTGCTCCATCTCCCAGCACAGAGCGTCCTCACTCCCAGTTCTCTACAACAGTGGTCTCTTTTGGAGATGGAGAGCTTGGCACCACGTTCATTTTTAGTTTGGTTTAGGTAGTTTAGCTTCTAGGCTAGTGGTGGTCAATGTCGCGGGAAGACGAAAGGAGCGTCTTGCACCCTGTCACCTTCTAGGGCTGTACCAAGGTGCTTCAGGGCGGGAAGAGGCCCGTCGGGAACAGAGAGCGCACCCCGCGGCTCTCGCCGTTCATCCTTAGTGCTCAAGCCCCCAGGAGCCGGCAGGCTGCTACTGCCGGGGGGCCAGCGTGTGGTGTGCTGTGCTGTGCTGCGCTGTGCTGTGCTGCGCTGCCGAGGGCACTGCGCGGTGCGATCTGCAGTCACCACCGCCTGCGACAGCTCCCTCACTGTGCACTGAGGCGCACTGAGGGGCCGAGGCGGGGCGGGGCCCAGCGCGGGGGGCGAGGCCTGGGTGCGGAAGCGGCTGCCGGAAGAGGCGGGGAGTTGCGGGGTGGTGGCAGCGTCGCTTCCGCGGGGCCGTCGGCCGCGCAGCCCCAGCGCCTGTGCCGCCGTCGCCGCCGTCGCCGTCGCCGCCGTCGCCGCCGTCGCCGCCGGGCCTGGAGGAGCCGCCGCCGGGCCTGGAGGAGTCGCCGCCATGCACGACGCCTTTGAGCATGTGCCGATCCTGGAGAAGCTGCCGCTGCAGATCGACTGCCTGGCGGCCTGGGGTGAGCCGGGGCCTCTCCGACGCCGGGCTGCCGGGACGCCCTGTCAGCCGTTCGTGGGGTTGCACCCTGAGGCGGCTGTGGGAACCCTGTGGGTAGCGCCGGAGTGTCTCCCTCTACCTGGGCTCGTTGCGGTGGCGCCGGTGGCTGCAGCAGGTGCCGGGCCGAGACCCGCTGGTGGGGCTCTGCCCGCCCAGCGGCAGCCCTGTGGTGCGAGAGCTGCCGTGATTCCAGCGCTGTAACCGTGGGTCGGCGCCTTTCTCGCTAGAAAGCGTTTCCTATGTTTTGGCTAAGACTTGTCTTGGAAAGCCAGTGGTTGTGTTCAGGTCTTGGGTTTAGAATCTGTTTGAGTGTCTTAGTGGTGTATAAGCGCGTGTGATGTTTTTGGTCATACTTGACAGTCAGGATTTTGGTCTGGTCAGGTGTGGCTGTGGTAATGATAAGGCTCGATCAGACTGCCTGAGCAGTTCCCTTCAGATGTGCTATCATGCACAAAATTGGCAATTAAAAAAATTCTCCAGACACTGTGAAATTGTGACCTTTCTGTCTTGGAACAACACTGTAACCTGAACAGTAGCGCCATGTTTAAATGTGAGTTGTTTGTACTATAATTGTAGAGAAGTTATGAAGATAGTTATTCCTGTATTGAGGCTTTTATCCTATATATTTTTGAAAGCATTTATGTTGCTGAAGTAGGAAAAAGTCTAAACTCACAGGTCTGTGGCAGCATGGTTGTGTAAAAAGAGGTGTAATTCTGTCTCTACAACCTTTCTTCCAAATAATGGAAGAAGGGTCTTGCAGGAGACAAGGCTTTATTGAAATACAAGTATCTTTGGTAGTGAGGGAGTAGTAGATGTAGAAAGGAGTATTTGTGTATGTTTATTTCCTTTGTGATTTTCAACAAGGAATAAGAATTTCGGTCATGTTTCATGACCCAGTAAAGATTCCGTGCATTTTTCTATGCTAGAAATGCTGTAAATAGGAAGAGTCTGAAACTGCTGCAGAGTTTGTATATAAAAAGGTTCTCTCTTGTAAATCTTGAATGGCTGTTGGTTGTCTATACAATTCAGATGCCACTTAAGCATAGCTGCTACTGCCCTTCCAGGCATAGCTGACTATTTCAGAGAGCTCTTTGAAAGACTTAACTATTGGAAAAAAAGCCCAAACCCAAACATGGAACTCTGGTTTTTTTTTCCTAACAGTTTTTCCCATTATTCCTGTCTAGCAGATGGTAGTTTGCCTCTTATGATTTCACAAAAGATGCAGTGGTTTGCTGCTTTACCTTTGTATCAACAAGCAGGATGCGATGTCTAGGCTCTAATCTCTGTTTAACTCCTTGATCTTTGGCCATCCTTTCCTGAGAATGAAAGCTACTTCCACCAGAGAGATGAAAGGAGACATGCTTGTAATCACCGCAGGAAGTCTTCTTTGGTATTTGAAATGAGTTTCCAAGTGTTCTGATAAATCTAAGTTGGCTGGGAAGGGCAGTCTTTGTGGAAAATAATTAGGCTCTTTTTCTCCCGTCTTTGTAGAGGAATGGCTCCTTGTTGGTACCAAACAAGGGCATCTTCTGCTTTACAGGATCAAGAAAGACATAGGTAAGTTGATTTTAAGAACGGCAGAAAAAGTTGTTATTTTTATTTCCTGCACTTTAAGAGGTTGTAGTGATGTTAACGAAAGTATGTTTATTTGCTGATTTTATTTCCTACATAGTTTAATGAATATTTATGTGGTATCTTTCAAAGTGTACATACCATTTATCAGATGTGCAAGAAGTATCAGCTTTTTTTTTTTTTTCTGTTTTAAAATATGTTTTATCAGGTCTCCATATGTTTGAATTTATAGTAAGTCAGTGTAATTTTTGTGAATACAGTGCACAAGCATGAGCAAAAGCAGTGCAGTGTGCTAGTTGCCAGATATTTGATCTTTGTCTTCTGTTAATGAAGGGCTGCATTAGTGAAAGAGCAGCTTTCTTCAGTGGGTCCATAAACATCAAGGCATGGGGAAGAGGGATCCCTCCTTACTGGTCCTGTCATGTGTTCACTCTTCTCCCTGTATCTTTGACAGTCATAAGTGTTCAGTCTATTTTAGAGCTGCCACAAATAGAACTATGCTATTTTTGGTCTAGTTAAAATTGATTTTCACTGAACACATTTATATTTTGCATTATCTGCTATTATGTAGAAACTGATGTTACTTAACACTGTTATGTTGTGTATTGTGGAACAGGAGAGAAAGACCCAAACATCTGTTTCCGAGTTCATTAGCTCTTGGACAGATACTTGTAGCTGCTTAGATTCTAGACGCTGAATTCAGCTTGCTTTTTCTGAAACTTGTAGGCCATCTACTCCAATCAGAACATACTAGTCTTGAGTTGTAGTGTCTTATCTCACATGGTAAATTTCTCCCCCTTTTTTGCATCAATGCCAGGAGAGGTTATGTCATCAGAAAGTGTCTGTAAGTCTTTATCCCTAAAACTCCTTCTAAACCCTTGTGGTATTGCTTATTCCTTGTCTACTTTGCAGTGATGTGCTCCCTAGCAATTTAAATTGTTGGTATTTGATGGGTGTGGATAAAGTCTTTATGGGTATCTTTGTATTTCTGGGCTTCAAAATACTTAAATGTAATTCTTGTAATCTAAAATTCCAGCTGGTCAAAAATGTAAATATTGATGGGGCCCTTGGATGGATACAAGAAATGTAACTTAAGTTTTCACTTGGCTATGTAGAAGATAGCACAGATATTTTAGAAGAGCCATTCTTCTAGGGTTAAGTGGCCAAGTTTGCTTTCATAGTTTTTTGTAATCTATTTAGTATAAGATATAGTAATGAACTGAAGGACAACTTCAGTTACATACTCTTTCAAATCTTTCTGGTAGGTTGCAATAGGTTTGAAGTGACACTAGAGAAATCCAACAAGAACTTCTCAAAAAAGATTCAGCAGGTAGGAAATACCATCTTCTTGACACGGGGACCATTTTCCAGTGTTTTCAGCCAAGAAATGAAATATCAAATGTACTTCTGGAATCTCTGCTAAGCTTAACAATGAGTTTCCCCAGAACTATAGACTCTTCTGAGGTGGCATGGCCTGTTACTTTTGCCCACTCTTCCCGTAACAGGAATAAACTTGGTTTGGTTCCTAAAGCAGAAAGCATAGAATTGGAGGTTACACTGTTATTTTTGGCTTATGGAAATGCTGTTTGCAGTAAATCTTCGGCTGCTCTGACTGAGACTGTTTTTTAAAATGATGTTAATACACCAACAGACTGTAATATATAATTTGGTTCCTAGATACAATGCTATAGACATGAATGTAATTCCTCTTAACTGGTGTTTAGAAATGAATTAGCTGATTATCTACTGCCAATGTTCCTACTATATTTTTCTTTTTGAGAATTTCACTTATTGCTTATCTTGATACTCAGGAAAGCATCCCAAAGGTTATGCAGCCTCTTTCAGTAATACTCTCCATATCCTTTAGAAGTACTTTTGTACTAGTAACATGCCACATATAATTTTTTTACCAGCTTAAGTTGCAAGCTCTACGTACTAGCTTGTAAAAACTGTGTTTAAGTGAAAGAGGTTGCAATAGCTGGAGGAAGGTTTTGCATAGCTAGCTGTCTTGCTGCTGTCATTATTTTTGAGAGTATCTAAGATGCATTTTTATAGGCTATTACTGAACTTTTTTCAGAAGTTTTGTTTATGAGTGGAGTCACTAATAGCATTCTTTATTTCAGATTCATGTTGTTTCTCAGTTTAAAATTCTGGTCAGTCTATTAGGTGAGTGAAGAAAACATTTGAATATTTAATGAACTCTTCTCAATGCAGTTACTTGGCTGAATGTGGCACTCTTTCCATACACCTGCATAGTAGTCTACTTGTTAAAAAGTCATTGTGTAGGATTTAGGCTTTTTCACTTTGCAGAGGAAGCATTATGCAGCATAGATTGAGAAGCAGCCTTGCTTGTTGTAAGCCAGCTTGGAGAACTAAGAATGAGCACTGAGTTTTGTGATTAAAAATGAAAAAATACATTGCACTACAATGTGTGTGCGTGTGTGTGTATATATATATATATATATATAGTTTGTTTGTATTGGCATGTGTGCATAAACATATATACATAGGTGCATGTGTATGTATGTGCGCAGTATGATAGCAGCTAAAATGTATGCCCAGACTTGTTTGATGTATGAAATTTCCTGCTGATGTGTTACACCAAATTCAGTTTATATGCAGATGGTGATCTTGTACCCTCTTGTGGAAGATCTCAGTTTGCTTGTCCCTGCCTGTGTTTGTTTCACCTTATGGTCTTCCTATGTCTTTTTTTTTTTTTTTTTTTCTTATGTTGCTACTCCCTTCTTCATGATCTCCCACGTCCCAGCTCTTCCACCTCCAGCATGCATAGATCTCTGCTGCCTGCGTCCTTGTGTATACAAAACTTGACCACGGTAGCATCCATTTGCAGTTGTGCACTTTCCACTAATTTCAGGAGCCAGTTCAAAATGGTCTTTGTTCATACAATCTTCCATTATGAACTTGCTCTACTCTGGCCTGCTTGATGTTCATTCCACTCCCACTTCCTCTGCTTGGTTAGCACTTGTTTTCAGTTCCTTCATGTTATTTTACCGAAGCTGCTGTTAGTCATCTTTTCTGTATTTATTGTCTTGTATTTGAATGTACTTTAGCACTTTTCAGCTTTTGGGAAAACATTCCTTTTCCTTCTGTGCACCTGTTAGTTTCACAAGTTCTTTTTCTTATGGAACATAAAATATGGTAACTTAACTTGAATTAGCAGTGAGCTCTACATGTATCAAATATTGAATAATAATAATAGGTTTTTTGTTTAAACCAGAAAATAACATTTATGTCCATGACCTGTTGACATTTCAACAAATCACCACTGTTTCCAAGGCAAAAGGTGCGTCTCTCTTCACTTGTGATCTTCAGGTAAGGGGAGGAGCACAATAGCACATATACTGTTTGTAATAAAGATAACTTTTTTATGTTTCTTTGTAGATTGTTTGTTAATTTTGTGTTACATGCAAGTTGCTTGGGTGCTAGCGTTTTTTAAAATTAGTACCTACTGGATGATGCTTTGCTTAAGGCAACAATTTTTAATGTAATCACCTTAATTTTTTTTCCTGTGCTTCATAAGGTATCTTCCTTTTCCTGTTGTGATTATAGCATTTAACCTCCAGATGCAAAACTTAAAGATATTTTTACCCTGTAGTAAGTTTAACTGACTAATTTTTTTGAAAGATCCTCTTCAATATAAAAGCCATTCCCTTCTCTTAAACCACCAGTGTACTAACTCTTACCGGTTCCATTGGGCAGGCATCTCCAAACAATGTTTTTATTACATTTCCATTTCTGTTAAACTGTATTGGCCCAAGGAGTCCCAGGGCAGTTGTGTTGGATTCGGGCCATAGAATAATTCCATGAGGTATAGCAATTCTCAGTTCATATGCTGTGGTTTATTAAGTATCTAATTTCTGTCCAAGTGAGTTTCTCGGCCTATCCATGTTATAATCAGAAGCGATGCCTTAGTGCTCTTCATCACTTTTTATCTCTTTGTCCCATGGGAGGTTAGTTTTAAGTATTTTCTAATAAGTACTTAAGGTTTTCTAAGTGTTAAAATTAGTGATGTCTTTGTAATGACTAGATTTAAAGGTGCTTTCAAAGTGCCGTGTTGTTTGTGTGGACGGGCACCTATCTTTGCCAATATTCCTTGTCAGGAAACTTTTCCAATAGGCTAGACTAATAAACAGCTATTAATATTTTTATTTGTCAGTATAACACATTCTTTGCATTGTTCCAAATCCCTTCTCTTATACTTCATAGAGTTCAAGCTATTTATCCTAGTTTTCAGGGCTGGGCTGATAGGTCTTTACTTTTCTTCTGGTTTGTGTGTGTGTGTCTTTGGTACTCTTTTGTTTTTTGTTACTTGGTGTCATAATCCCTGTCAAACTTCATTTTTAAGTATCCCATCCCCATTCTTACTGTGTGTCCTTGTTTAGGGGATGCCCATCTCATATGGATGAGCAAAGCTGCTCTTCAGCTGACAGCTTTACTTCAGGCTGAGGATTCTTTTGGCCTTGTTTTATCTTACTTGCCTCTTAGTTTATGAGTGATTATGACTTAGGCCTGTCTGTTTTCACAGCAGTCAGATACAGGGGAAGAGGTGCTGAGAATGTGTGTGGCAGTGCGGAAGAAACTACAGCTTTATTTTTGGAAGGACAGAGAGTTCCATGAACTACAGGTGAGTTGTGTTGTTTCTGTAGTCATAACATGCCTCAACTGGAAGTGAAGTTGCTCTTTACTGTTTGCTGTGCAGTCCTTTCTACTCAGAGGCACTGCTGACTATCAGAGCATTGACTCCGGGTGGTTCTGCAGTGATTTAGTAGTGAAACAGCAAATAAAAATGAAAATAATGTGGTTGAAATAACAACAGCATTAATACAGTTTCATAAGTTAAATCAAAGGCTGTGCTCTATATTTTCACGTTCTGGTTGTAGTACACTTGTAGGTCAGTGAAATGTATTAGTGTGCAGCCTCTATAAATGTATACCTGACAGTAACACTATGGAACTGGGTCTGCTTCTACTCAAAGTTTTATATGTATGTTGTCAAGTCAGAAGGTTGATGACAAGCATAGGGAACTGAAATTCTGAATACCAGAATGGTAAAAATAACCAATAGAAATAGGTAGAGAATTTTTCAGCTGTGCTGCTTTTCTAGGAAGTTAAGAGTGTGCTTCTTTACTATGCACAAATCTAGCCTTTTAGTTGAATGCTGCTATTCCTTGACCAGCAGAAATCAGGCATTTGTGGTAGGGAATACACTATCAGCAGCAGTACTGCCTGTTACACTCTCTGTTGCCAGATTTGACTTTTGCTTTTCTGTTGTAACAACAATTTTAACCCATTTTCTATGTTTTCCTCAGGGGGACTTCAGTGTACCTGATGTACCCAAGTCCATGGCCTGGTGTGAAAACTCCATCTGTGTAGGCTTTAAGAGGGACTATTACCTAATACGGGTAAGACTGGGATTTGGAATACAATATCTAAGAAGATCTGGAGAGCAGTAGACACTATCACAGCTGCTCTTGTGCTCAGGGTTTTAGCTAACAGGCATTTACGAAAACCAGCATCTGGTACATTTGCTGTATGTAGTTTTGGAAAGGCTGTATTTTTAAACTGATGTTTTGTCAGAAAGTGATCTTCTGTTTATTGCTGTTGAAACGAGTGTTTGAAGCTGTTGCAGAAAAATGGCATTTTTGTTTGGCAGTGGTCTGCTTAATGTATTAAGAAAGAAGAGCTCTAAAAGGGAAAAAAGATACAATAATATTACCTGGTGAACAGTGGAGCTGAACAGTTTTTTATTTTTTCATTCTCTTTTTGAACTGTAGTTGTTTCAGTTTGAAAGTCTCTAAACTTACTGTCATCAATTTAGTATTACAGTTTCCACTTAGGCTTTGTTTGACAGCTATATTTGATTCTTTTTTTTCTTCCTTTACAATTGGCTTCTGCTGATATTATACGAAAATGGGATGAAGTGCACCACTCATGTGCAGATGTACGTATATGGGTAGAAACGCTGATCTATAGTCAGCAGGAAAACTGCACAGTAATTTCTACAGTCAGTTCAAACTGACACTGCTCACAAAAGTAATGCCTTTCTGCAGTGTGCTCCTAGATGTTGATGCCCACCATTCTAGTGGTATGAGTTGTTGTGCAGCTGCTCAAGCAACCACAGTGGAGACTTGCTGTCCAAGTGTTGGCTTTGGTGCTTGACTTGCCCCATGTTTGAATGGCTTTGTTTCACTAAATAGGGACACCCTCCCTCCCCACGTTTTTATGGTATTGTTTGCTGCTGCCTAGCTGTTGATTTATAATGATTTAGACACTTATAACTGATGTTGATGCTGTGCTATGCATTTTATATCCCTGTATGATATATGTTCTGAACAGGACTGTCATCTCCTGGGTCCATCTCAAGCGACCAGTGTCGCAACAGTGCAACATCAGTAGGGTAAAACGTCTAGGTGGGATTCTGACTTAGAGGCGTTCAGTCGTAAGCGTGGTTAAAGCCCTTCCCGTATCTTTGTTCGCGAAGCCAAGCCATCTTCACACTAGCCTTCGGGCAACCATCCTAGGAGAAGGAAAACCCTAACTTCAAACCCAGGCAGATGGAGCTCTTCTAGCCTTGTAAGGCCTTCCATCTAAGAGAAGGACACTCTAACTAAACCTGCGTCCTGAGGACTTTGCTGTCACCGTCCTAGCTAGCTAGGCCCTGGCAGATAAACCTCAGGTGTAAAGGGTAGGACCAGTTTGGTGTATGCTGTGCCTCACCTAAAAAATCCACTGTGCAGGCTCGAAGGGTTTACTCACACTTGCAAAGCCCTGTAGCGACAGGCATGGGATGAAATGGCAGGTGACAAGGGGCACTGGAAGCTGCAGACCCAACCCTGCATGCAGGCGGTTCACAGCATTGGTTGCTCAAGATTGACCCAGGAGATGACAGTCTTGTTCAGAAACATCCTGAATGACCAAGCAGCCTTTTTTCCAACTGGATTTGTCTATCCCACATTGCCCTTTTAGTCATCATCGCACTTGTAGTAAGCGTGGGTAAAGCCCTTCCCAAATCTTTGTTTGCAAAGCCAAGCCATCAATCAATCAGTGATACATGTGCTCACCTATGCTTATAGTAAAAGGAATATATCGTCTCAGACACAAAAGTAGTAATTTTTTATTTCCAAATGATGTATAAGCCAGGTAAGTGATAATATGCTGAAAATTTTATTGCTACTCTTTAAAATTGCACTTATTCTGTTAGTGAGTTGTCTGGGTTGTAAATTCCTTTTGGGGATTTTTGGCTTTGGTCTTATACTTCTTTGAAATAAAGGTTATTTTGAAGCACAGCCTTTTTGTTTTCTTTATCATCCTAGGTGGATGGAAAAGGATCCATCAAAGAACTGTTTCCCACAGGGAAGCAGCTGGAACCATTGGTAGCTCCTGTAGCAGATGGAAAAGTTGCAGTTGGCCAAGATGATCTAACAGTTGTGCTCAATGAAGAAGGGGTCTGTACTCAGAAATGTGCCTTGAATTGGACAGATATTCCTATAGCCATGGGTGAGAATTAGCAGAGAATTTTGATATTGGAGAATTTTGCTTCTTTACTCTTTTGTATATGACAAAATTGACATCCCCAGTATTTAGGAACTATCTGGTTTTGGAGTCAGAGTTCCTAAAGTATTTCAAGTTGTACTCTATAGAGGGTCTCATGTCATTTTTGTTTTTTCCCCTTCTTTGCTTTTAGTCTGTATGCCTGTCTCCTCAGAAAACAAGCATATTGCATGTCTTTTATAAAGGGCCAAGATATGAAATGAAAGGTAATGTGTTAAAGCATTGTAGTTCTCCTGGGCACTTGAGTGCCACAGAAATTCCTGGTGTTGGAAGATGAGTAAAAAGCATGGTAGTATTCTGTTAGCAAATTGCTGTCAGTGTTGGGCACTGATTTTTTTTCTTAATAAGCAAAAAGGGATACGTTTCTCTTTAAGGCATGACTTATTTCGAGGAATGGTTGAGAGCACAACTTACATTTTTCATTCTTTTCATTAACAGAACACCAGCCTCCCTACATCATTGCTGTTTTGCCGAGGTATGTGGAGATCCGTACTTTTGAGCCCCGGCTGCTGGTACAGAGTATTGAGCTGCAGAGACCACGCTTCATCACCTCTGGAGGGTATTGAGTGTAACTGATTATTACTTTTGTTGTGCTGTTTGAGTGTTTAGTAGGACTCTGAAAAACTGAGAGAGGAAGAGCTTTTCTAACTCCCTTAGCTCCTCAAGTGGAGGCCATACTTTGAGGAGTGAAGGACAGAGTTGAGTGTCTTTGGGAATTTCTGATTACTGGAGATACATTCTTCTTTCTGCTTTGCAATATTGCTCAAGTTAACCTTGTAACTTGATTGTGTGTAGCCATGTGTGTATTGACCGGGATTGTTTTTTCCAGATAGGGTATTGCTTCTTTCTTAGTAACCGACCTTTTTGTTTTGTTTACAGCACAAATATTATATATGTGGCAAGTAATCACTTCGTTTGGCGGCTTATTCCAGTGTCCATAGCCACACAGATCCAGCAGCTTCTGCAGGACAAGCAATTTGAGTTGGCTTTGCAGTTAGCAGTGAGTACTTGCACTTGTGCAAAAGCACACAGAAGGATGTTTGCCTTCTACTTTACTGTAGCTAGTCCAGAGAGTTTAATCTTCTTACTGTCCACTTTGCACAAACTGGTAAACTCTAGTCTTTTTTTGACTGAAGTTTTGGTTTTGTGCTGCCATTCTCCATGTTCATCTACTATGGTTTAGATTTTGAGATAACCTTCCACATACAAGACTATTTCTCATATCTGTTTAGTTGGTTACCTTCTTTTAGACTTTGAAGTGTAGCTGACTTTGGGCTGCTCGTAAGCAGTTTTGCTTGGAGTTGTCTGTTTTGTTTTGTCAAATGATCATTGTTTTGTAATGGCCCTCCATATTACTCCTTGAAAATAACAATTTCTTAGAGATGCTGAAGCAGGTTTAATTATATTGCTCTTGCTATTTTAAGTTTTTCTGGTTTCTGGAAACTTTCCTGGAACTACATAAAATGAATTAATTGCATTTTGTATTGCTAACTTGAAAAAAAATTTGAAAAAGCAAATGGGTGAAGAGGTAGTTGCTGTGGTAGAGTGAGCGTAGAAGATAACCAGAAGTAGCTTTCAGACCTTCAAGGTTATCATTGTGACGCAGTAAGCATAAGATCTGAGAATCACCATCAGAGGTGTTCACTTTGGAAGTTTATCTTTTTTCTTACTCTGTCCAAAGGGATAATACTCATTTCTACCGAGTTCCTTCTCATTTACGAGGCTCAAGAGTTTTTAATGTTTGTTAATTTGTATGTGTGTAGGAAATGAAGGATGATTCAGATAGTGAGAAGCGACAACAAATTCACCACATAAAGAACCTCTTTGCCTTCAACCTTTTCTGCCAGAAGCGCTTTGATGAATCCATGCAAGTTTTTGCCAAGCTTGGTACAGGTAAATGTTTGGGTTGGCATTGAGATACCTAGGTTTGAAAAGAAATGAAGCTTACAGACTATTGCGTTGGTGGCGTTTTTTTATTTGTTTTCTGTTTTGCTTTAAAGCAGTGGTGTCTTGTGCATACCAGTCCCCTGTGAATGGCAAATAGCCTAGGCAACTATTCAGCTTTTGATTTTTGGGAATCTGGTTATAGTACTTAATCAACTTCAGTCAATGAGTTAAATCACGAATTTTCCCTTTGTGTAGAATGTATTTGTATTGTAGGCTATTATTACACTGTGTACAGCATGTACACAGACCCTTGAAGTTGAGAGCTTCAGCAGCTGCCAAAAGCCTGCTTGTAGCTTGGAATGAAAAATAAGGAACATTTGAATATTTGATATTCAAATTGGACTTGACCAAACTGAGGACCCTTAACTCTATTTACTGTTTAATGGACCAATTTCTGAAGCCAAGAAACTTTTCTGTGGTTTTGGAAGTCAAAATAGTCTCTGTCACTATTGCTTTGGTTCAGGCATTCATCTGATAATGAAGTATGAAGGCTGGAATATGCCACAGCATAGTGCTTTAGACTGAGATTCTTTTATTGGTGACAGCACATCCCTTGTACATTTAAACCTAGAACTTTTAGTTGGTTTGATGACACTTAATTTCATATTTACTTTGGGAAGCTACAGTGAAGGAAAAGGACTGAGAATTCAAAATACTTTGAACTTAAGATAGACGGCAGTAATTTTGAATTGGTTTAAACTATGAAAATGGTTGCTCATTAGTTTAAGATGGTGCTATTCAATTCCTGTTTCAAAAGCACAGTAAATCTTAAACATTACTTGTTCCTAGAAATCCTGTCCTACTGTCAGAGCTGGTAATGTTGAGATTCTGCAAGGTTTCTGCCAGCACACAGCTTGGAACTTGTGCTTGGACATTGAATCAGTCCTCTTCCTAGATTTACTTTGTTTTAACTTCTTTTCTGTAATAAGCCAGTTTTGTTAGGTGGACAAACAGCACTGTTAAAAAGCTAAGCTTGCTCAAAGGTTACACACATTTAAGGAGTTTGCAAAAATAATGTCATGAATGGTTACTAATACTAGTTATTTTTTTGCTTAGATCCCACTCATGTGATGGGTCTGTATCCTGATCTCCTGCCCACAGATTACAGGAAACAGCTACAGTATCCCAACCCACTGCCAGGGCTCTCAGGGGCAGAGCTGGAGAAGGCACATTTAGCTCTGATAGACTACCTAACTCAGGTGAGTGCTCCTGTATCTGTTTTAAGAGCAGGGTTATTTAGTTTTAGCAAACTTTGTGCAGGAGGCAGTATGCCTACTCCAGCTCTGTCATGCTAGCCTTAATGGGCTGTCTTTATGGTTGGAAACAATGGCAGAAGCTCCCGGGAAAGCAGGGGAACTGGAAGACACGAGGTACCCCACAGATATGGGGGAGACATCATGACTTATGGACCAGATGTGAACGAGTCCGGTAGTTTATTTCCAGTACTCTTCTGAAGAGGACTTGAGATCTTGATCTTCAGGTTTTGTTTGATGACTTTTGGGAGAGCACCCTATCCTGGAGACAGGTCAAAAGCACGCATTAAAAGGTGAAACAGGAGGGTAGTGGGTACTGTAATTTCCTATACCCTTTGTTTTGTTGTAACTGGAATCTGAGTTGTTCTGTTGTCATTCTTACTAGACTGAAAGGAAGCTTGTGGCTGAAGGAAGATAGTTTTTTGTGCATAGTAGTTCAAAACCTCAAGTGTGTTCCAAATGTTTTAAATGTCTCTTGACTTCTCTACAATGTGTCTGTTTAGGTTAAGAGTTTCCTTCTGACTGTTTTCTCAAGACTCTGAACATCTTGCAGAACTACAGATTTGCAAAACAAATTTATACACTTGAATGTGATTGGAAAGATGATGTGTTGAATAGTTAGTAGCAATAAAAATTCTTTAGGAAACAGTTGATTAAACCAAGTTATTAAATTGGTTTAATTTAGCATTTTTACTTGTTGGGTTGTATTTGCTGAGGTGGGATGGGAAAATCTTGTGGCTTTTTCCTGTTAAAATTTCATTTGATGTCCTGCAGAAGAGAAGTCAGCTGGTAAAGAAGCTAAATGATTCTGACCATCAGTCTAGTACCTCACCCCTCATGGAAGGAACACCCACTATCAAATCCAAAAAGAAGCTGTTACAAATCATTGATACCACCTTGTTAAAGTGTTACCTCCATGTAAGTTTCTGACTGACCTAGAGGCCTTTCCTTTACCGTGCAAAGTCTGACGGAATTTCAGGTCAAAACACTTAAGAATAAGGATAGTGAGCTACTTCAGAAATTCTCACACAACCACCTGTCTTTGGTCTAAAAATGATCTGTGAAACTTTGGTGTCAGTTAGGTTGCTTACTGGTCAGGAAGTAGTTTCATGGAATAAAGTACATGTGTCTGTTTCTGGTCACTGCCTCTGTCAAAACAATATGGCCAGGCCTGAGTATTTTGAAGTTCTCATGAATACTTCTCGTGTTGCCTTGTACTGTTAAATACAGGAAAGGACAGTCTTTGCTGTTAGCTTTATTTAAGGCTGATCTCTGTTCTTGAAGGGGAATAGCTCTGATATATATATATATATTTTTTTTTTTTTCTGTCCCAACAAATTGTGGAAATGAAGATGGCCTTGCTCTGAGACTCAGGATGGTTGGTGGGGACCTTAAAGATCATCTAGTTCTAACTTCCCTGCTATGGGCAGGGACACTTTCCAGTAGACCAGGTTGATCAAAGCCCCATCCAGCCTGACCCTGAAAGATGTTAAACTCATTTCTTATGCTATGAGGCTGCTGCTTTTCTATTTTTCTCTTCACCCCTGCCTACCCCTTACAACTCATGTTTTGTACTTTTAAGCATAAGAAGTGTGTTTACTTTAAAAGTATGTTTAAGCACTCGCTTTTTGCTTGCAGACAAATGTAGCACTGGTGGCACCACTGCTGCGTCTGGAAAACAATCACTGCCATATTGAAGAGAGTGAGCACGTACTAAAGAAGGCACACAAATATAGTGAGCTGATAATACTATATGAGAAGAAGGGTCTGCATGAGAAAGGTAGGTATGAGGTTGGGGTGGGGAGAAAAAAAGGGATAGGAGCATGTATTCCTAGTTTTGTCTTCAGTGAGCAGGCAATATTCTGAAGAGACTTTGTTTCTGTGTCTGTCCTGTGATTAAATCACTCTTTGTTCCTATTACCTGTTTGGTATGTGTGATTAAAACAGAAGTTTGTTTTGTCTCTGGTAGCAGAACAGGAAGAATGGTCTTGTTTCGTGTTTCAGGTTGGAATAATACAGCTGCAAAGGAATTAATGTGTTGTTTTTTTTTTTTTTTTGTTCTAAAAGCATTACAGGTACTGGTGGATCAATCAAAGAAAGCCAACTCACCTTTGAAGGGTCATGAGAGGACAGTGCAGTATCTGCAGCATTTGGGTGAGTATGAAGGAGAGCATTGTTTTTATGAAGGTGTTACACTCTTGGGCTCAGCGGTTATGTTACTGTTCAGCAGCTTTCTAGAGGCTGTTAAGCTAAAGGGTATCATTGTCATCTTGTCTGGTTTCTTGAATAATGCAGCTTCAAGAATAAGTTTATGATCATCTTGTTAAAACTTGATTATCTTATTTGAAAACATTCCTTATTTCTGATAAAAAATTTCCATTTCTAGAAGATGTGCTGCAGTATTTTCAGATTTCTTCCAGTGTTACCATCACTGACAAAAGGAAAGTCTAACTTCTGGGTCTTAACTCCCAGTTGCTGGGGCTTGTAGTATCTTTCCAGAGATGAAGAATCCCATATGAAGTTTTCGTTTTCTGTGTTTAGATTGATCTAAATAATGATCTAGTATTTCAGACTATAGGGTTTCTTCAGGCTGTTCACTCTCCCCTGTCCTTTAGTGAGGCTTCTGTTGGTATGAACTTCTAATCTAAGTAATAATTGATTTTTAGAAAAATTATCTTTTAAATTTAGTTATGCGAGATGTATTTTGAGTTGCTTTCTCAGTCTGAATGAAGTAGAAACTCTCCTTTAGTCATGTCTTGCCTTTAGGTTTATAGGCATTTAATGAAATGTTCTTAAATAGTTCCCAGGTAATTAGAAGAAAATTCCTCCAGGCTTGTAGCTGTGGTCTGTTAAGTCATCAAGTATGTATTACTGATTTGGATTTGATACTTCCCATGTGTCAACAGAGTAAGCACTTAGTGTTTATTGCATCAAAGCAAATATTAATTGTTAATTCTGTGATTGGCCATGTCCAACAAAAATACACTTTATCTGGGCACATCAGAATTATGTATTTGATTGGGTAGTGGATAATTTTGTGTATTATACCATTCTTTATCTGTTAAAATATGCAGAACTTTTGCCTCTTATAACTCAAATTAAGGATTTGTTGCTAGGAATGTTTAGAAATTCTGTGTCTTCTTTAATTCTAGCAGCACAAAACATCTTTGCCTCTGTCCTTCAGTGTGGTGCCCATGCAGCTGAATTTTACGTGCTGAAAAAGCCTGTTTTGTTTTGTGGTGGGATGCAGTGTTGGCCTTTTAGCATTCTGATCTATAAGCTTTGGTAGGTACTTGAGGAGTTCCTCTTCTCCTGCCATCCTGAGTGTTTTAAGTAGGTTGTAACTTCGTGTTTGATTTGGTTATGATTTTAGCAAAGACAATTTGATCAGTGCTTTGGAAAGGAGGTATTCTAATTAATCTCACACTTGTTTATAAGGAGTTAAGACTTTGTCTGTTGTTCTACGTAAGAACTTACTCCCATGACTTGTCCTGTCGTGTATTTAAATTTTCTCAGGCTAGCAAATCCATTACCATATAATTCCTTATTAATTCAAAAAGTTAATTAAAGTTTAGCAAAATTCAGGCCCATGACCTTGGTACCATTTGCCAAGTCACTGTTTTGTTTCTGAAACTTTGCAATTGGCTTTTCTGGGAGCTAGTTTAGTTGTTTTTACTTCATAATGCTCATCTTCTGGTTTTTAAAATACTGCTACTATGAAGATGCTGCTTGTTTTAAACATTTAAAAATAACTTACTCCTGATGATATTGTGGGATGAAGGAAGGCAAACAATGGCTGCCTTTTTAGAGGGTTGGTGTAACTTTCCGTTTCTTGCGTAGTTGTGTTGCTGCATTGTTCAGGCAGTGTTTCAGTATTTCTGATCAGGAGGGTAAGGAGAAACTCATGTTTTCCTAATATGTTTTATAAACTTTGTGAAGCAAATGGTCCAAATGAAAGTTCTTTTAAAGAAGCAGGTCCTAAGTTTTCTTAAAAGCTGAGGAGTTTTTACCTAACAAGTGCTTTCTGTGCTAGTTACTTCAGAACTAGGATGCTTCTTTACTACTGGTATGAAGTATTTGGCCATTTGCTGTAGAAGTCATTAGGCTGGCAGGCTGGAAATGGACTGAAGGAAATTGCAGAAGTGAAAAGGACAGTGCTTTTTCTACCCTAATAAAAATATTGTAAGGGAAGACTTTTGAAATGTAATTAAGACAACTGAGCTTGGTTTTGGTCTGAATTGTTTATATTTGGTGGTGGTCAGTGTATTAGCTAATTCTTGTTTCTGCTTGAAATCATGTTTGCAAAGTAATGAAATTGTGGCTATAGGCTGGAATGTGTGATTTGCCAGACTTGAGTGGGGATTCTGTAAATTATATTCTGCTGGCTCTGAAAGCATCTGCTTGTGTTGTGAATAGAATCATAGAATAGTTAGGGTTGGAAAGGACCTTAAGATCATTGAGTTCCAACCCCCCTGCCATGGCAGGGACTCATCACCCTAAACCGTGTCACCCAAGGCTCTGTCCAACCTGGCCTTGAACACTGCCAGGGAAGGAGCATTCACAACTTCCTTGGGCAACCCATTCCAGTGCGTTGCCACCCTATTCCAGTGCCTCACCACCCTTACAGTAAATAACTTCTTCCTTATATCCAATCTAAACTTCCTCTGTTTAAGTTTTAACCTGTTACCTCTTGTCCTGTCACTACAGTCCCTAATGAAGAGTCCCTCCCCAGCATCCTTATAGGCTTCCTTCAGACACTGGAAGGCTGCTCTGAGGTCTCTACGCAGCCTTCTCTTCTCCAGCCTGAACAGCCCCAACTTCCTCAGCCTGTCTTTATATGGGAGGTGCTCCAGTCCCCTGATCATCCTCATGGCCCTCCTCTGGACTAGGTAGATCTTTAGGATTTTAACATTCAGCACTGCTGCTTTTTATATTCCAGGCACAGAGAATTTGCACTTGGTATTTTCCTACTCTGTCTGGGTGCTAAGAGATTTTCCTGAAGATGGACTGAAAGTAAGTGTGGTTGAAACAGGCACCTTGCCATTAAGATACTTAATGCATTGTATGGAATTGGAGTACCCAGTGTAAGAAGCCATGTATTAATGCTAAATCCAATCATAGAATCACTGAATGGTTTGGGTTGGAGAGGCCCTTAAGGTCATCTAGTTCCAACCCCCCTGCCATGAGCAGGGATGCCTTGCACTAGGCCGTGTTGCCCAAGGCTCTGTTCACCCTGGCCTTGAGCACTGCCAGGGATGGAGCATTTACCACTTCTTTGGGCAACCTGTTCCAGTGCCTTACCACCCCCAAAGCAAAGAATTTCTTCCTTATATCTAACCTGAACTTCTGTTTAAGTTTAAACCCATTCTCCCATGTCCTGTCACTACAGTCACTGATGAAGAGTCTCTCTCTGGCATAAGTATATATGAGTATATAATTTATGTTTTCTATGTTCAGTAATGTGGTAGGATTAGCAGTAAGTAGAGCTGGACAGCCTTTCAATTTTTCTTAGGCTTTTCTGGTTTTGGAATACTGTTTTGTAGTAAGTGGCTATTTTGCTACAACATTTAACGTTCTTTATGTCATGCTTTTTGCACAAATGCCTGATTGAATGTTTAGAAGTCAAATGTTAATTTCCCTTTCTTATTTTCCTTTTCCTCTTTGGCACAGAATTGACTCCTTGTATTTGGGAGGTATTGGGCACTGTAAAAGGAGTGTTAACTGAGGCAGAAGGGGGGATGTTTGTTAATTCTTTTAGATGTGAGATAGCTTCTGAGTGCCTGAACTTCTTGTACTTCTGTGCTTGCTCTTTGGACATGGATGATGATATGCTGGGCTTCAGTGCCTCAGAGAAAATACACTGTGGTACTTAATTTAAAACAAACAAACAAAAAATCACCCTTCCATGAATGAAATTTTGTTTAACAGATATTTACAGAAGACCTCCCTGAAGTGGAAGCTTTGCCACGAGACAAAGTGCTCAGTTTCTTGATAGAAAATTTCAAAAGCTTGACTATTCCTTATCTGGTAAGAACTCAATCTCTCCTAGTGCACTTCATTCAGTAGAACATGTTACATGTAAGGCTTTAGCTCTCCAGGTGTTGGAGGCTGATGCATTTCTCAGGGAATGCTAGCTTTGCCATAAGTTGTACCAGGAGAAAATACTTAAAGTATATGAAATCCTGAAGTCAAGCTTGGTAGAGGCAAGCATGGAACTGTTACTTGCTTATAATAAATTACTTCCCATAGGAAGCAACTATAACTGAACCTGAACATGCATTTACAGGAGCACATCATTCATGTCTGGGAAGAAACTGGTGCAGACTTCCATAACTGTCTGATCCAGCTGTACTGTGAAAAAGTGCAGGCCTTGATGAAAGAATATCTAAATTCTTTCCCTCCAGGTATGTTTAGATTTTTCTGGTGGGAAGACCAGGGGCATGGGACAGCACAGGGGAGCCTTCACAGTGTTTTGCTGTAAGCCTTCCCTGTTAACACCCAGAAGATATTCTAAGTGATGAGGGAAATGGAACAACAAAATTTGTGGGTTTATAGGGAAGTCTAATTTACTGCCTCCCTAGAGGGAGCAAGTGACACTTGGTTCATGATTTAGTGGAATGGCAGCTAATGCTCCCTGAATGTTGCATATTAAGGGTAGGGAAGGGTCTTGAATAAGTGAGTCTATTGTTTAACTGGCCATTCGATGTGTTATAAGGAGCCAAAGTAATTTGGCAGGTGCACTGGAATCCCAGCCCATCTAACAGCTTCATCAGCTTTTGGTTGCTTGTAATGATTTGTTTGTCATCTTCTGTGTGCTAGTGTTGTGAAATGATTGTAATACTGTAGCTTATGTTGCTTTCTTCCATATAGATAAAACACCAGTGCCTGCTGGGGAGGAAGGAGGAGACTTGGGGGATTACCGGAAAAAGCTTCTACTTTTTCTGGAGAAGTCTAGCTGGTATGAGCCAAGCAGACTAATCAGTGACTTCCCCTTTGATGGTGAGTTCAGTTTCCATAGGTTAAATAAACCCTATTTGCATTGTACAATGAAACCTCCTCACTTACTGTAGAATCATGGTAACTAGAAACAGAGATGGCTGTATCTGTAGTTGTAGGCTGCTAGTATGGATATTAACTCTTTTTGCTGGCAAAGTTGGGTTTGCCAGTCTCTGCAGGGTTCCTGTAACAGTTGGCCTAAGACATTGTGGCATCTTCCATCACTTAAATATTTAGCTTAACCTTTTGATAAGCGTGAATTACTCAACAAATGTGAAGTCTGATGTTTCTTAAGCTTGCGTGAAAATTCATAAAATGTTACTGAGACTGGTGTGAAATACAGTCTTGATGTAACTTTAACCTGTGCTTAGACTACAGTTTTGTAGTTCCTGATGTTAGTCTGGTCACTAGTAGAGCTTATGTTATCACTTCTCCATGTAGGTATTGACTAATCCTTTGTGTTTATCACTAGGTCTCCTAGAAGAACGTGCTCTGCTCTTGGGTCGTATGGGGAAGCATGAGCAAGCTCTGTTTATTTATGTTCATATTTTGAAGGACACCAACATGGCTGAAAAGTAAGGGTTTCCTGTTTTGTTTGTTTCTTTGTCCTTAGATTGTGAACTTGTGTGTGGTGTTTTGCTTCCTTTCTGTTTGAAGAGGCATTAAATTTAGATTCTGGATTAAAGCTTTTTAAGCTGATAGGAGTGGGAGACTTGCACAAAACCTCCCTTTTCTCAGCATTGTAATTCAGAGTAAATGGCATCATTTTGTTGTGCAGCCTGATTAATTAGTCAGAATTGCATATACAGTCACCTAAATTGGATGGCTTTAGTAATCAAACCAAATAAATGTTAATTTCTGTGGACTGATTCTCTGGCTTCCAAAACTCCCTGCATTTCATCTGGTTCTTCTCTGTTCTAGCTACTGCCATAAACATTATGACAGAAACAAAGATGGCAACAAAGATGTAAGTAGCTGCATCTTTGCAGTCTTCCTTTTCATTAAGAATGAATTAGACCATTCCTACCATGTTTAGGGACTTTAAATTTTTTGCTCTCTATTGACTTTTTTCAGGGTTTGTGAGGGTGAATGGGAAACTATGTATAACGTCTTGGAATTCAGGAATTGTTAGATGATTCTGTTTGCTTAGTTTCTTTTGTTCTTTTTTTTTTTTTTTTATTTGTTGAGAATGTTGCTGTATCACTGGAGTGTGCACTAGCTAAAGTTCTGATGGAATTCAGAAGACAAAATGCTGTGTGCATATTCCCCATGCATCTACAGAAAAGTTAATGATAAAGAGCAATGAAGTGTCAGTTTCTGAAAGCTATAAATGAATTGGGCAAGATAAATGAGGAAGGTGTAATTAAAACTGCTTTTGTAGAAAATCTTTACTGAAGAATGCAATTAAAAGGCCTTGAACATCATTGGGACTTTTCAGTTTTTGTTGTTTCAAGAATTTTGAATAGCATGAGTACAACTTACTAGTATCATTGCTGGGTTCCACCAGCACTGTCACTTTTGGTGCAGTGGTGTCAGAACTCTCCTTTCGTATTCAACAGGTCTACCTGTCATTGCTCCGGATGTATCTCTCCCCACCTAGTGTTCACTGCCTGGGACCAATCAAGATGGAAGTGCTAGAACCTCAAGCCAATCTGCAGGCTGCTCTGCAGGTTTTGGAACTGCATCACAGCAAACTGGATACCACCAAGGTAAGAAACACTTGTTAGTACTCAGTTTGTCCTGTTAGCAAAAGGTGAAAGTACTTGAGTAAGCAAGTGAACAGAATGTAGCAGTGTGAACCTAAATGTGTCAATTTCTGTTCTATTTTGTTCTCTATTCCTCTTAATTTTTCCTAACTAAGTATATTTTGCTCCAGGCAATAAACCTGCTCCCAGCAAATACACAGATAAGTGAGATTCGAATCTTCTTAGAGAAAGTCCTTGAAGAAAATGCTCAGAAGAAAAGATTTAATCAAGTACTCAAGAATCTTCTCCATTCAGAGTTTCTGAGGGTACGTACCCACCACCTATCATGTTCAGTATGAAGTCTTCCTTATGCAGCGTATCGTCCTGTAGATGGCGCTGTAGTGCACCTGAAATGCATAGATGTGCATCAAGTAGGTTGAATGTCCCTTTCCAACAGTGGTGAGAGCGTTGGTTTTAGTTTGGATGGTGTGTGTGTCTTTGCTGTGAGTTTTTGGACTCGTTGTGCTCTGGTGTGTTTGTATGTGTATATATACATATATATATATTTTACTTTTTTCAAATAAACTAAAGCAGGTGATGCAGTTCTGTAGTTCATCTGAACACTCCTTAGTGGTTAGAATGCCTTGGTTTGTGAACCAGGCTAGTTGAAAGTAAAATCCTACAATTCATATAGCTTGGGTGTTGGTTAATACCACCTGCTCTTCTCTACAGACCTGCTGCTTTTGTGCTATACAACTTATTAATGTAGACATAGCCACTGGCATTTAAACCTTATGACAGTTTTCAGTTTAACCAGACTAGAAGGGAGCTGTGGTGTGGCATTGTTTTTTGAGGAATGTCTTTTAATTTGTTATTTATTTTTCTGTAGGTCCAGGAGGAGAGGATCTTGCATCAGCAAGTGAAGTGCATTATTACCGAGGAGAAGGTGTGCACTGTATGTAAAAAGAAGATAGGTAACAGGTGAGAGAGTGTATACCTTAAAGCTTGGGAAACTGAGTCAGATGTGAATCTGGTACACTTAAACTTGTTGCAGAACTCAGAATGTGTATATACATGGAGAAAACAGCAGTATGAGGGAGACACTTCAGAAGTGTTTGAATTACAAATTACATAGCTCAGCTGAGTCGCTGGGAAAACACCAGAGCTTTAGTCAATGAAGCTTACTGCAAGAGTTTAATACTGTTTTCAGTAAAGGAGAAAAAATTCACTTTAGAAACTCGTAAGACTTCTTACTTCACAACTCTACAAGGTGGAAAATCACTTTGATTCTCCACTGAATTTGGAAAATTTTCTACAAACACTGCCTACTACCTGCTTCTTAACTAGAATTAAAAGGATGATATAAAGAATCTCAAAGGAAGAAATATGTGTAATAGTTTTCTATATCTGATGGCTCTGTGGTTGCCTGGCTGATTTACAGATTGTAGCCTAATTGTCTTAGACATCTATTAGTAGAACTAATTCACTTGATACCTACTACTTCTAGTAGGTAATTATGGGTTAGTATAGAAAGCAGATTTTATATGCCCTTTTTCCTCTTTGAACTCCAGTGAAATGCCACACGACTTATTTATTGTTTATCTATTTGATGTGAACCCTCTGTCATATCAGTAGCATTCACAATGATAGGGAAAGATTCTTTTTCCAGGACATTTTAATGAACATAAGCCTGATTATATTTATTGCTGTGTATATTCATTTTTTTTGCTGTTAGTATATAGCATGTAGCATTGGATTTTAAATTTGCATATGCAATATGCAATAATAATGAAATTATTAATTTTATATTAATTTATTAATGAAAATATTTATTATTAATGCATATAATTAAATATGCATATATGTCCATATAAATATTTTGTCTGGGTTTCTCAGGAGTGTATTTGGGCTGTAATTCAAACAAGAAAGTGTCACTTCCATGTAAGCATCTAGTTCTGATTCTGTATAACTTGGATGCTTTTGTTTGAACAAGGAAAACTTTGTCTTTATTGACAATTAATTTTTGTGTTCTGTCTCTTTACAGTGCATTTGCTCGATACCCAAATGCAAAAGTTGTGCATTATTTCTGCTCCAAAGAAGTCAACACATTGGATACCTGACTTTGTTATGGTCCCAACATTCATATGAAACTCGGAACTGATGACTTCAGAAGTTGATGCCTCTTGAGATTTTTTTTTTTTTTTGAGGCTTGTTGCTAGGCTCTTTTACACTGGGTAGAAGTCATTTGTATCTGTGAACTGACTGTACCAGCTGGCAATATTGATTTACTAGAAAATGACTTTACCCATGTTATTATAGCGCTGACAACTACAGTGAACCTCTCAGTACTCAGATGAAGAATAGAAACTGATTTTTGTAGTGAGTTTTGTATTGCACTCCAACCTTGTGGATGAATTGTTAGACAACTGTTGGGCATTCAGCACAAGTCAAGTTTTACTGCAAAACTTACTTCCTTAGGGTGACAGTGTTTGTGATTTGGCCTTGAATGTAAATAGTTTTTCAAAAAAAAGGAAATTCCTTTAAAGTCTTCGCAGCTGTATCAGTGTTGCATGGAGATCACAAGGAGTTTGGCATAGAGGAGACTTCTTTGCCTATATCAAGACCTAGAAAATAAAATTTTACTTTCATCTCAGTAATGGGAATGTTGAATTGCTTGCCAAAGGAATCTTTTTATTGATATTCAGTGTTACCACCTGACCTTCTGATAAGATGTTTCACAGGTACCACTAGTAAGTGTTTTTTTCCTTTTTATTTCAATTTGAGAGCTGTAAATGGAATTAACTTCTGTGTTGTTTGCACTAAATTTGTTTACTCTTAGCATGAGTGAAAGTTCAGAGACTGTTCTAAGTAGGTCATATCTGCACTCACAGCAAAAATCAAAGAACACCCTGTAAAGAAACTTCTGAGGGGAGGGAACTATAGTTATTACTTGAGCTTCTAGACTACACGTGAGATGTGTGTATATAAGTTCTTTATTCTCTGGTTCACTTCCCATCCTTGAAGTAAACTCAAGACTATTTCAACATCTCTCTATTATAAATGCTCTAGAACTGTGTTCTGCTCAGGCTGGTACTATTCCTAAGTTACTCTTGGGCCAGAAGTCTGAACTACAAGAGCTAGATTGTACCATACTCCTTGTAGGCTGTAATATTTTTGTCTAACTTATTTTTCCACAAACTTTAATCTATAGCAGATTGGTTATGAGGGGTATTAAAATGTTTGGTGCAGAAAGAATCTGTATAGTGATAATGAAAAGGCAGCAGTAGCAAATAGTCTAATAGAGTGACTGTTTGACTCCCAACGTCCGTGGTCTAGCAATACTTGTAATTATTAAATAGTATGGAGCATGGCATGTCACTACCAGATACCACTTCTTAATGAATAAGCAGATAAATCCTGTCTGCCTTAAAGTGTAATTGGATCTCAGTTAACATTACAGGTTTACTTATGTGGGTGCTTTCTAGGAACAGATCTGCTGTAGGCTGGCAAGAGTCCTAATTCATTTTCATTTGCCAGTGTTGATAGTTTCCCATGGTAACTGTTGTTTTTTGCCTTTCCAGATGTGTTTACATTTATTGTACATATGCCATGCATTCTTGTGGATTTCTTGGTCCAGTGTTTTGCTACTTCTGTCCTTGGATGTCTTGGGCGGTATTGCTGCTGCTGTCTTTCTGCAGAGGCTGGGTAGAGGGAATTCGTGCTGTTAATGTTTTTAACCTTGTATTTCTTCTATTTGAAGAAGAGAACCTAAAAATACTTACACTGGATTTGCACATTCTGTATAGATCTTTATATAGTAGTTCAGGTACAGAAGGAAGATGGTTTGGGAGAGTTGTGTTTACAGGTCATTGAGAATGCAAGAAGGGTATTTAAAAACACCCTGTATTCTTTGTATACAGATATAACAATATTGCTCCAATTTTTACCTATCTTATGTTTAATACTGTGAGTCTGATTTACCTTCATTGTCTGCTATCAGGGGAGCTGTATTCACATCAGTGGATCTTCATTGTGCTCTTACGTATGCGGTTAAGGTTGTGCCTCTGTTCACTGCTTACCTTTTTCAGACATGTGGTCTGTGCTGTAATTTCTTTTTTGTTGGTTCTCACCACGTGGTTGGGGTTTACTAACCATACAGCAGGTTTATCTAAAGCAATAGATTGTAATAAATGTTGTGAACTGGTGTGCGTTTCAGTCATTGCGCAGTTAAGCTTCTCTGGGCTGCTGTAGATTTCTTTTTATCTATTAGTCCTCCATTTCTCCTGGAATTCAGACCCAGTGCAGGGCATCCCAGTATCACTCCTGCTTTAATATTTGTCAATCAAATGAGGCCATGTCATATGAAGACTGTCATCACTTCTCAGCTTTGGTTTTAAAATCTGCAAGTTTATAGTATGCTTGTGAATACTCTCAAAATCCTACTAAAACCACTTTTGTATTCTTGCTTTGAATAATGTTTTTGAAAATCTTATGCCATTAAATATGTACTTATTGGAGAACACTGTAATTACTGATAATTTTTTTGAGTGGTGGTGTGCTGTTTTGGGGTGGGAGGGATGCTGAGCTCTGTGATTAAATCGAGAAGTGTTTCGATTCACAGGTCTTCCAGTTGCTTGAATTGTAGGTTGTAGAATAGCGTTGGTAGTATAATATAGATCTTCAGTTTTCCTATTTATAGAAGCATGAGATTCCAGTACTGAAGAAGAATCTTTTGTCTTCATGTTGAACAGTCAAGTATATTGGTATTTATGGAGAAAACCAATCCACTAACTCCCCTCTGCTGCCCAGCTGAAACCTTGATAGCATCCTTCCGAAACTTAATATCATCTAATTTTGCACTGCATCTTGTCTCTCCTCTTAGTGCTGCTAATGGGAGCAAAAGGGGTCCCTTGTGATATCTGTGCCCATTTTAAGTACTGTATAGTATAGTTAGTGATGGTGTCATTTGTTTATGATGCTGACAAAAAAAAAATGAAATACAGATGTACATCTACCTTTACCACTGTGGGGTTGCTAATCCAAGTGGAAGTAAAGTTACCAGGAATGAAGCCATCTTTGTTACCTCACAAACAGGTCATGTTTTGATGCCAATCTGCTTGCTTGTTTTCTTAGTCTGATGGAAAATGACAAAACGAAGTAGTTTCTCTAGTTATTAAGTTGTCTGTTGACAGTGTCTAGTTGGATAACGCTGCACACAAACACTGTTTGCTAACAGATGATATGTTGACTATGAAACAATTCTTAAGCATATGTTCTAAAGAGCTTTCAGTTTTTCTTGAGAGAGAAGTTCAAGAGCAATTCTGTAAACATGAGATCTCTGTGCTGAGATTTAAGTGGGAGAAAACAGGAAAAGGCAGGTAAGTCTGATTTTAAATGCAATTGGACATACACTGTATAAAATGCAGACTTTCTATGCTGCCTATAATAAACTGTTCAGAATAAGTGTGATTTCTCCATGTTAGCTTGCTGTGTGAAGCTGTCTCAATTTTCCTGTGCTATGTATCAAGCTATATATTAGATTAAATAAATCCAGCTTACGGTTGTGGAAGTTTTCAAGGATAAATAAAACCTAATATGACAGTCCTTCACTTCCAATGCAGTGGTATGTAGAAATGCAAAGGACTTGTCTTTTCAGTCCATTGTCTACTATACTGCTTACTCTTACATAAGAGCTTTACAGCAGTTGCCGGCTGTTTTGCAATGGTATTATGTGTGCTTTTTGCCTGCGCATTGGCTCTCAAGTCTGTGAATTGACTAACTAGTACTGACTTGTTTGTGTTGCAAATGCAGGTGCCTGTGCTTTTACTAATTTTCTGAAATCCTGATCTAGTGACTGACACTAATGACAGGAAATGATTAATGAATGGGACCTTGCTGAGAATGTGTCACGTTCTAATGCTTGCATGGGGCTGGTGACGTGCTGCATCACTGGCTTTTGTACATTCTCTGCCACTTTATAATTGTTGAAAAACCTGAGTTTGTTTTTCAGTCTGCTCCCTCAATTTAAGCTCTTTAATGAAAAGCTCCAAGCAAGACAACTGTGAGCAGCTGTTAATAAACTGATCACTTCCAATAAACCAAATTCCTTTACTACTTATTTTTAAGGCCCAGGAAGACTCATAAAGAATCTTCCCTCTCTGTTGTACAGTTTTTCAAGACCTGTGTTGGAAGAATCACGACTGTGCTACATGGAAATGAGAATAAAGGGGGGACTTGTGCAGGCTGCTCACATAGTGAGAAGTTAAACATGGTGGTGAATCAATATTCTCTGAGGCATCCTAATACAGCCCAAATTGTTTTGTCTCCCCTCGGGCCTTTCTGAAACTTGTCTGAATAGCTACAGTCGATGAGGAGTTTGGCTTTGCTTCAGGATTGTAAGATGGGAATTTCTTTCTGTTTGAAAGTACTCTTTTTAGGGTATGCTAAAACTCTGAAAGGGTTTAAAATGGCCAAAGTCTAAGATGAGGTTGCTGCTACTCTCAAACTAAATTTGGACTGGGGGTTTTGAGGTTGTGGCTTGATCATGGAGCAGTGCTTCCTCCTGCCGAGGGCTCCCCAGTTGGGTGCTGCTTTGCTGCCCTTATCTTTTACCTGTATTTGGAAACCCTGGCAGCGAGGTTTTGAAGTGTGGTGTTTGTCAAGTGCAGGCCACACCTCTGCTTCCCACAGCTGGAGCACAGCCTAGTCCTGCCCAAGACTTCAGACCGAGCCTGTTGCGGGCAGCCCTTCGCAGCTGCGTGTCGGGGGACTCTTCATTCTCTGCACTTCCCTGTCTCAGGTTTTCTGTGGCGACGACGGGACACATTCCCCATGTTCCATGAGGTGCTGCGGGGCACGATTCCACCCAGAGTCCTGCCTTTTCTGGCAGCTGTGCTTTTCCAAAGGAAGGAGAGGAAGGAGACTGGGTTTTACCACAAGCGGGTAAGACAGCATTCCTCGGCCGATGTGTCCAGCAGTGACTTCTGCTACTGCACGTGTGGAAAACTGATCCTGCATTTCTACAGGACTTGATCAAAAAGTTCAGGGGAGAATTTTGAGTGAGAATAACGCTAAGGGAGATCTCATTTTTGATTAAATTCAGAATCTGTGTGAGGCAGAGCAAGTTTCCTTGGCTTTTTGGGGAACAGATTTAAGCTGATGCCAACTATTATTTCTTTTTTTTTGGGGTGGGGGGTGAGTCCAAAATAGTGCACTTTTTATCAGCAGAGACAAAACAGTGTTTGTGTTTCCTTGCAAGATATCCTTGATTACCATTCCCCTTCCTTTCTGCTTTCTACCTTATCCCACGGAGCTTAACGATCTAAAATAGGCAAAGATTAATGATGATGTCACCCCCTGTTCATAATGCTGACCAACCACATTAGATAAAGGGGTTTCGCTGTGTTTGCCTTTTAATTGGTAATCATTCCACTGTATAAAATGGTATGGCCAATAACCTTGGGTTTGAATTACACCAAGTGTTTGTGAAGGAGTCTCTGCCTAGATCAGATCTGTTATCTGATGACCTGTTCTCTCCCACCCCCCCCACAATCTACAACTTAAAATTGGGGTGACCATTAAATGTCATAGATAAATGTCCTCTCTACAGTTCTTCTTGCTGTGTGATAAAGATCGTCTTACTTTCTTTTAAAT